TATATATATATATATACAACGAAATTATACGTCTATACCAGAGCACGTATATAAAAAAAACGATTAGGCAATTGTAAAAAAATTTGGTTCATTAATGCGTTTTCTCAGAACGAGAATAACTTAATTTCTACTTTTTGTTTTGTCGCGTAATGTTACACAGCGTAGCTTTCCTTCCAAAACTGTCCGACTGAACGAATTCGTGCCGCAAACCCAAATATAGACAGCCCAAACATGTCGATACATCACAATGCTCCGATTCAATCTTTGTCCGACTGGGTATTCTCTTGATTGTTACTCTGTTGAGAATTTTGTTTAATTATATTAACTAAGGTGTCTAACCTAGTAGGATGCGCGATTTGTAAAACCATGTGCGCTTCCTCCAAAATTAAGAGACCATTATGCGCGTCGTTCGCAGATAGATTGTGCGCTAATATTACGTGACGTCTCCAAGCCGCATGCGTGGGAAGAACCTGAAATGGATTGCATTTATTCCACACCTTATCGGACGTAATCGTAATCGTTAATGTAATGAAGGATGTAATCGTTATCTACGCACCTGCAAGCACCATTTGCAGTTTAAAGACGGTGAAGTCGTGTGGACAGCTTTGATGTGCCTTCGACGAAACCCCCAACTGGTGTACGCTCTGTCGCAGAACGGGCACGGAAATGGTGGATACGCAGTGACGCCCTTCACCGTCTCCTCTGGGAATTCGGAATTGCCAGCGGTCCCGGGACACGTTGGAAACACGGAACGGAGAACCCTTGCGTCTCGTTCCATGAGAATGTTCGTAGATTCCTGTTGATCGTGCATCGATTCCGAATATAAATGATTCGGCGAGTGAAGTTCGTCAGTGTGTCGATAAGTATTCCAAGGTGGAGTTCGATCAAGGTCGATCGGAAATCTCACACGCGTATCTGGCTCGGACGAAGGAGTCGAGGTCTCTCGTGCGTCGGCGATTACAGTTACATTCGGCTTCGATGATCCTGCAAGTAATTCCAGTCCGCGACTTCAAATTTTCTTCGCTCAGTTCGTGATATTTGTCTGTCTTCGTCAAGTCAACAGGAACCAGTTGGAAGGGACTGAAGCAAGGATCTTGTCGGTTCGATCTGGGATCTTTCGTTTTTCTCTTTCTCTGGGAAATGCTGGGATAAGCTTCGAATGATGCAAGGAAACGGTGGATTCGTAGGATATCCAATATTTTTCGTTCTTCTTATAATTAGTCCGTTTTCTTCCAGATTTTGCGAATATTATGTTTAAACGCACATATTATCCGAGAACGATACATCTAATACTCCGTATATATAGTACGTACACAGAAAAACAGGAATATATATCGGGAAATGATGAGACAATTAAAAATGTAAAATAGGTTTATTTGCAACCAGTCATTTCTGTGTATGTGTGTATATTTTGTCTACAATCGCATAGATTTAAATAACAGTCAACTCGAAGCGTTTCGTACCTTTGCGAGATCAAACGAGGAAAACAGAAAAATGGCAAGTAAATGCGAAAATCAGATTTGTCTGTTCGTTTGATTGAAAATAAACGATAGGAAAATATAGTGCGCCATCGATAGCTGCGAATCGTTCGCGTGAAGTCTCGTTACGGCATATTGAACGCCTTAAATATCATAAAAGCATATCTTATACTACTCTCATCGTAAGAGCTTTGACGTAGTCGTCTTTTTCTAATGTTGTCAATAATGCGAAGCGCAATTATGTTTGCACGCGTATATAGTATGTACATCGGTAAACGTACACCTACGTATCCATCTACGAGTACAGTAATGCATGTGATGGTATACTCGTATTTTTTTTGAACGTAAAAAATCTCCGCAAGTCTTTACGACACAACGCGCTTACTATTAGTATGTGTTACGTAGATCGTCTATGGCGAAAGTGCACATCTGCGTGACAACATTGTAAACGGACAAATAGAAGGAATGTTGCATTGCACAAGGTACGAGAGACAGGGTACAAGGAAAAAGAGAATCAAGAGAATCAAATAATGGAACGATCAATCAACTTTCTCAGCGGTGAAACAAGTCTTCGGAGCACGCGTTGCGTGATCATTATCAAAACGAAAAACAGTAGTAAAATATTAAATTAATTAATATAAAAATTACTCATTTGCCCCGTGAATTGAAAGCAAACGTGAGAAGCGTATAAATAGTTGGACCATTGGCCTAGAATGCTTTCCGTTCCTCTACTCTTTGTTTGAACACGCTCTACGCTTTTTTTCTTTGAATTTTCTCGTTCCACCTATTCGCATCCTTCTTCAAAAAGAAAGGATATGAAAACTTTCGAGGCGATCTAAGAGGATCCTAGATGATCTTAGATAATCGAGACGACGAATCAGCGAAAGAAACACTTCATTCTAGCCAGTGAAAACGTTTCCGTTTTACCCCTGACCTGAAACGCCCTAGTCATTGAGTGTAAACCGACCGCCTTTGGAATAGATACCTCTTCAAACCCCTATTGCTAGTATCGATTTTAGTTACGCAATTTTTCCACGTTTCCTCCCATTCGACGCTATTAGGTGCAATACCACTAAAGTGCAACAGAACTTCTCTTATCAAATGTATTTTGTTACTATCGAACTGTTGTTTTCCCATCTTGCCGTTTACGTTACAGAGAATCCTCTCCTCCGTGGTAAAAAGGATCTTCATAAGGTCACAGGCCAAATGATCCATCGGTCGAGAGGATGCCCACGTTGAGATTATCTCCGGACTCGGCAGAAGATCGGCGTAAGGTAGTTGCTGATACGCGTATAGCAGTGGCTTCACGTCCGAGAATCCAGTTAGGCCGGATAACCCAGATAAACCGGAAATATCTTCAACAGGGCTGTTCCCAGACCCTGCCACACACATCAGAGCACAGCCTGCTTTAGACACGGATCCCCCTGACGCGTGAATTGCAGCGTACCGAACAATCAAGCAAATTCGACCAAAGTTCGTTAAATGTCGCGTTAAACAATCGATCGCGTATCATTCCACTTGTCTTCTCCGTCACGCATGCACAGATAGTTTTACGCGTAAACGTAGAACAAAGTCTAGATCACGTTATCGAGTACTAGAAGCCAGGACAAGCAACGTAAATAAACTAAAAAACGAAACTATTCAATAATATGTTTCTCCTTTCTATCGTTTAATCACCTGCTGAACTAGATAACAACGTTATCTGCGCCTTGACCTCTAGTTTCTCCGATTGTACTTTTATTTATGTACATATTTATTTGCTATCTACACGTGTTCCCATTTCCACTATGACATTGTAATATTGTAACATTGTAACATCGAACGAAATAAAAACAAATGAAAAAAATACGTATAACACCAATGTGAATAATAAAGCAGAGGTGACGATCAAAGCTAACTCAACGATTTGAAAAAGCATCGAAAACGAGTATGCACCTAATTTTATTGAAATTACCGAACATACACAATACGAAATTTTTATCAATTAAATTATAAATTCAATCATACACCCTAACATACATGTAGTATTAACCATAGTGAATCAATTTATGTTAATTTTTATCAATACGTAACGAATGAATTGTACTGCCTTATTCTTCTCTAATTTATAAAAGTCTTACACATAACATATAGTTCATTGTGAAATATTAGATAGAATGCAAGTATAAAATATAGAGACGTAAATATAGTATCAAAATATACACAAATTGTACAATATATATAACATTTGTTTCAAAATAGCATGCACATGGTGATATTTTCTATTATTATCTATAAAGCAATATTTTAATTTTCAATATATTACTAACCTTGATTCCCATCGAGTTGCCCTGTGTCTAACCTTTCTGCCGGATCCTTTTCTGTTGTAGATTGTTTCTGAGATTCTTCTAATACAGTTTCTAATGGCTCTATCTGAAATACAATCCATTAAACTTTGTTTCATACATTTGATCAATCACTTTTACAAAGATCTAAATATTACTGGCGTAGTAACCTTCATTTCTAAACGATGATATATTGGATTTTGCAAATTTTTCTGCAATAAATAATCTGCATCTTTGCCACTTTGTTCGCTGGCCGTAGATTCATCTGTACTTTCTACTTGTGATGCTTTAGGTGTCAGTGCTGATTCTAATATAGAATTCTGATGTTTATTCAGTTTTTGTTTTTTTTTTGGATTTTCTTCTTTGGCAGTAGCCGTTCCTTCTTCTACTGCTTGTTCCAATTCCACTAATTTTTTATAAGATTCCTTGGCAAATATATCCCCTCCAGACAGTCCACGAATTTGCAAAGTCTCTGCAGCTTTTAAAAGCGCTGGCAAATTTTTCTGCTCGATATTTACTTCTCCTTTATATATAAATATAAGTAAGGCTTCTAATTCGCTGAAGTGCACATCTTGGAGTATTATAACTGGATGTTGACAAGGGTTTGTCTATAACGTAAAAAAGATTTAAAAAATAATATTTCCTATTAAACTATGACATGCGTCACACATATAAAACCATATGACAGCTAACCATGATATATTCAAAATATGACACGTATTATTAAAAGTAGACTAATCTCAAAAACTTTACGATTACTGTTTAAAGAATTTGTTCGTATTTATTGATTAACCAATGAAAAGTTTTATTCAATAATCAAACTACTCACCGTCAAAACGTCAATGTAACCACAAATGTGATCAACGTAACCACATAGAAAACTAACCTGGAAAACTTTTTTGAAGAAAGGACTACTTGCTGAGAGAATCACTTTGTGAGCAGTAAGACACTGTCCATCGCTTGCTAACGTCACATCTACTAAACCTTCCTCTTCCCAAAGACTTTCGAAACTCGTTGCGATGTTGTTTAAAAAACTGTTCCATTTTAGACATATTTGATTTGACATCTCGCATACAGAAAATGTTGATCCTATCAATGTGTTACGACCACGTTTTGAACTGTTCGATATCTTCAACGGCAATTACAATTCAACGATAGGAACAACGTTGACAACGATAGTAAGAATAACGACAACGACGACGTTAACGACGACAACGACCGCGATGTAACAGCAGTGGTGCCAGGCACGCACAAACATCCTTGGTACTGGGTTGGGAGAACATAGTCAATATGGCCGCCATGCTCTATTGAATTGCGCGCGACCTTAGAAACCTTCTTTCAAACGTTGTATATTATATATCTTACTCTTTACTTGTACTTGTAAAAGGGCCTGGAACAAAAATATAGCAAAATAAAATAAAGGACTGTTTTTTTTCATAATCTGTGTACAAAAAAATAAATTTTAAAATCAATTTTTTACTAGTAATTCAATATACGTATTGAAAACATTTATTCAAATTTCATTAACAGGCATAACAATCATATTTAAAAAATGACAAGAATAATTAAATTACATTGAAGCAACAATAATGAGTATGTAATGAGAATATGTCTGTTTTCATGTTGCATCCATATATGTATATGTGTACACGATCATTAATTTCCGCGTACATTCATGCATGTATCTAGGTATATATGTTCGTGCGTGTATACATTATCGCGTGTTCACATGCTTGCGTGAGTCGTATCCTATAACAGTATTCCATAATTGTTAAAGTTCTATCTTTGCGTCTCTAATGCAAACATACTAAAGTTATTGCATAATGCCTTGAAAAATAATTTTAAGATTTGCAAAGCTATACTATTTTATAATACTATTATTAATAGAATCTATAATAGATATTATACTATTATACTATCATGACAGAATCTAATCTAATTTTTAACTTTCCGTACATCCAATCCGTATTTCCAATCTAATTTTTAACTTTTCTAACATTTGTTAGAATTTAACGTTTCAAATATTTAAAACTGAAAAATTTCTAAAGTTAAACTTCTTAAGCTTCTTAAACTTCTTAATCTTCCTTACATTTGGAAAACATAAATCTCACGGTAGGTGTCCATTGTTAAAGGATCGGAAATTTCTGAGAACAAAATAAACTGCAACCCCTCAAAATTTACTATGCATTGCGACCCTTTAAATTTATTATATACCATCGATCAAAACTTCCAGACCATTTGTATGAATTTAGAATTCATGCAAATATTTTTGCTACGAACTAAGAATTGCAATTTATTTTAGAATAATTTTTAATATAACGCTTCGTAAAGTGATATTCAAAAGAATATTTTAAATGATATTGAAAAGATTAAAAAATTTAATAAAAATTTAATAAACATAAATTGACTGTCTCGGTCGTCTTAATCCGCATAAGTTTCTTGCGAGAAAAGTTTGATAGAAAGGTCCGAAAACATCCTCCATTATGAATTTCACCTTGGCAAAAGTATCTAATGGAGATTTCTTGTTAAGACAGTATAGCAGTTGAAAATTTAAATAAATTAATTGACAGAATGCCTAGTAATAGTAAAATTGTATTGAAAAATAATATTTGAAAACTAATAGTAAAGCTACATATTGAAAAATGAAGAAGGAATTATCTAAAAGCGTTGCAAATTGCTTACAAATTGCTTACTTTCTTTTTCTTTCAAATTTCTATATTTCTATATTTTAATTCCTTAAACAAAGACATTTTCAAAGAATGGAAATTTTCTTCTTAACTTCGCAGCTGTCTTAAACTTTTGACCAATAGACTCCCCATTTCTAAACTTTGAAAAGACAAAGAAAAACCAGGTATAGAGTTAGGTATAAATTCCCAATCAGGTATAGAATCGAGTATAAATTATTCATGCATTATTGATAAATTCATTATCAATAAAAGAAAGTAAAAACGATAATTTCAAATTAAAAACGATAATTTCAAATTAAATTTCAAAAAAAAAATTCAAGAAATTTCTAATCTGCGTTTAAAATGTAGATAAAGCTCGGTGTAGTTAACACCTATCCCACAATACCCGTAGATGTAGATAATACTCGGTGCAGGTAACACCCATAAACAATAAACGGTTTTAAAATCTGGATAAAGCTGGGTACAGTTAATACGTCTAACAATAAACGGTATGGCAGCAAATTGACCTAAGTAGCAAAATGTTACTATTGAAATTTCGGAAGGGACAATCATCCCCGGATCTATAAATAATCTCCTGTTCCGTTAACTGATCAACCAATCAGGAAACAGGATACTGGTATTTCACTTCCTTAAAAACAATATTCTGCTTCATTTGGAGTTTCTCAAGTGAGGTGTAGACAACTCAAGTCTCTTCCGATTTGGAATTTCTCAAGTGTTGTGTAGACAAGTTCTTTTTCGATTTGGAAAACGGAAAATTTAAATTCGTACTTTTTGCCAATAATAGTGTAACGATGTAATAGTGTAATATCACACAGTTTCGGCTATCATATTAAAGAAAAAGAAAAATTCAAGCAGCCATCCATAATGATAACGTAAGTAACTTTTCATTTGAACGAAGCAAGAAAAAAACTAAGTCGAAAGAAGTTAGAGGCAATTAGTAATTAAATGTCAAAGACGTTTGTTAGACATCTATGTGGTGATATTATTTTGAAAAATTAAATAGAAATAATGTCGTTGATTAAAACATTTATTATTGAAAACAGCATGCTACGAGCGTCTGCTAAATCGTGACGTCACTTTATAGATAAACCAACGCCAATTATGTTTTAAATTATCTGAATTTTAACAACATTTACGTAACGATAAACTTTGGTGCTTGAAGAACTATTCGCTTTCGACAAGATTATCTCGCGTGAAGTTTCAGCGAAATTCGCCAATTGTATTTCATCACACGACAGACTTTTAATATCTGTATACAATTATAATAATCAACATTTTTTAGTTTTGTGCTCAAAGACACCAGTACCTCACTACACAAATATTTTTTCGTATTACAAGCATTACATATTGTAAACGTGCGTATTTGACATGTAACAAAATTTACAACATGATTTGCATATTTAGCAAATAAATCAGATTTTAATATATTATATAAATTGTGACACTTTTATCAATTTTATAGAAAACTATATCGAGTGTACGAAGCCAATGAAACCTGTAATCGAAAGTAATCGGTGCATTCAATTTCTTTGCGAATTGTCAAGAAAATATTTAAAAAAAAAAAAACACATGATCACGCTGGAAAACCTGCATTCTCTGAAATGCGGTATTGTAGAGAATTGTATCAAGTATATCGTGTCCCGTATATTCTCGTTGTATCTTTTGTTTTTGTATGTGTTTGGCTCAATCTTTTTGAGTTGCACGGAAAACACAGAGACAGAACATACGAATTCAAACAATGATTATTATGAAGAAAAAGACAAAAAGATAGAAATGAAGACGGAAGACAGGGGAAATGAAACTTCAGCCGATAGATTTTTGGAAAAACTTCGAAATTTCGAGTCTACTTTCAAAGATAATAGTGGAGAGATATCATCTTCGGATGATTTCAACGAGGACAGTGAAAATGATGAAATGAAGACAGCTAGGGAAGATTCTGATTCTTCTAATGAAGAATGGAGCGACGCGAATAATGTTACGACAATGAATATGTCATTAGACCATGAAAATGGTATATCCCATATAACCTTGGAAGAACAATGCATTTCTACTGAAGATAAAGATTCGTTTCCTTCATTTTCTAAGTTTCCGAAACAAAGAGAGGAATCGGAACAAAATAATTTCTTTTGTGATAAGGGAAATGATAATTTTTTTAATGATTTTTCAATTACACCTCGATTAAAACAAGACAAGATTAAAGGACTAAAAAGGAGATTAATAACTGAATTCACTGCTGATATTAAGAAACGAAAAATTGTATTCGATGAAGAGAAAACTGAAAGTCACATCGAACATGAAAATGAAAGTAAGATACAAGAAAAAGAACGCAATTTTTCACAAAATGGTCCGATTAAATATAAACCACATCCTTCAAGAACACTCAATAAAAAGTTGAAATGGAAAAATATTAAATATAAAAAAATTACGCAGACAGACAGCTACCTTTCTACCGATGACGATGTTGAAATATTTCCAATTCGAGCAAAACGATCTAAACGTGCAATCAATTTTACAATTTGCCAATTTCAGGTAAGATTACAATCTTTTTATTTCATTTGCTTTATTATCATTCTATCGTACTTAACCAAATAAACATGCTCAATTCAATTCGATTCAATTTCCTTTACAGGATCAAAATGTGGACGAAGAATTAAATTATATGGCAGACAATGAAGACTCAATAGATGGATTTTTACAAATAACACACGAACGAATTTCAGTAATCAAAACATCATTTTCATCGATTAATTCTGGTTTCGAAAAACGCGCTTCTGAAACCTCTAATATGAATATTATAGCAGAACAATGGTCCATGAATTTACCTGATCGCATAAGTAGCTCTCGTTCAAGATGCAGTCGTGCTCCTCCTGGTTTTCCTGAATTACCACAAAATCCACCGCTAATGTCTTACATTTTTGATCCGCAATTCATACTGTCATCTTCAAACGATAATAATGATCCCAATTCTTTCCATCCGAAATCAATGGCGATTGTACCACCAGCGCCCCCACCTATGCGACACCTTTATTATGAATATCCCGAATTTATGGATCTACCCTCTATATGTTAATTCTCCCAGACTCTTAATTGATATTTACAATATGTAAATTTTTAATTTATATTATACTTAAATAATATTTATTATTTTAAAAAACGATTATTACCTGTAAAAAAAGTATGTTTGTATAATTTTATACAAATTTCACAATAAAAAGATTTCTTGTAAAAGAGATGATTTTACTGAAAAACATTTATTAAAAATATGTACAATGTATAAACCGACAACTTAAAGAGTTAAGTAGTATATTACGGTGTAGGCATAAATGACAAATTCATTGGCGATAATTGACTTCCTGGTGTAACATCTGCTCTTTCTCCTTGTTCGATAACTTCTGTTTCATTCATATCTTCCACCTATAATTGACACAATACTAAAACTTTATTAATATTACCTGATTATAAAGCAAAATATTTTGTAATTACCACCATCGAATGCTCAAATTTTCCTCTCTTTTGTGCAATTGTTCTTAGTAATGCCTTGGCTTCTTCTTTTGTTTCGTCAAATTGCAAACATTTTTGTGCATAATGATTAGCATGATCCAACTGTTCTCGTTTTAAATGATACTGTGTTAAATATTTGTAAGCGTGGCTCAAATCAGTTCTATCTGCATTTATAAATTCATCCATCACAAAATCTGTGTACGCTGCTGCTGCATGATCATGTTCACCTAATTTTTCATATAACCTACAGTTAAAATATATATTAAAATATATATTTAAATTTTAATTTACTACATAATAGATCTAATTTTAATACGTACGTGGCTAATTTTAATAATGCCATTCCTTCAATATCACCAACATTGCATGCTTTATAATAACATTTTAATGCGTCTTGTATTTTATTTTGTTTTTCATATGCTTCTCCTAATGCCTGTACCATTCTACTATCATGAGGCCTTAATAATTGAGCCTGTTTGTAATAATAAAGGGCGTAGAATGGCATTTTCAGAATTTCATATGTTTGACCTAAACCATACCATGCTCTGTAATCCCGCTTATTGACTTCTATATAAAAAAAATTGCTAGACAAATAGATGTTCATATTCAATTTTATATGTATATATAACATATACCAATAGCTTGTCTGTAGCTGTGAATAGCACCATTTGTATTTCTCATTTCCATAAACTCATGACCAAGCAGTGTCCAAGCAGAAAGATATTGTGGATTCAATTTTAATGCTCTATGAAAATACATTGATGCTTTTTGATGATCTCCTCTTAAACTGTAATAATTTCCTAAAAGATATCTGTTTAGTTAAATGGCACAATAGTATATTTATAACTTTTTGATCTTAAGATGCAAAAAACTTACCTACTATGCAACATGTTTCTAATCTGTATTTATCAATTTCTGTTGCTCTATGAGCTAAATATGCCAATTCAACTTTCATTTCTTTTACATAGAGAATATTAGAATATGTATCCATATTATCTAAGCAATAAGGGTCTGCTTTTATTATCTTCTTAAATGTTTCTATAGCATTATCAACATCTAAAACAATAATACCATAATTTAATATACCATATAATATATCATAGTGTATATATAGACTATCCACTAGTAACTATAAAGTCTTTGTTAATGACATGTTTGATAAGCTTACTTGCCTCTTCTATAGTTTACAGTCATTGCGGTTTGAGCAAGTACATAACCATTCTTTTCAAACCCCATTGATTGTAATTTACAGTATAATGCTAAACCTTCATCTATTAATTGTAGTTCTAAATACATATGAGCCATAAAGAAATGTTTTATCCAATGATTAGGTAAACAGAGATTTTCAAGCTTTTCTCTGTCAGTGATTAAAGAAGCTAATTCTAACCACGATCCCCAATGCATTGGTTGCTTATGAGTTGCCTCGACCAACACATCCATTGCTTCCCTAGTAAGCTGCAATTTTTTTAAAGTCACACCAAAAAGATAAAGACTAAAACCATCAAGTTTGTCTGCCATATGATCTTTTCTCAAATCGGAGCATAATAATCTCAAACTTTCATTTTTTAAAGGATCTGGAGGTACTACTGTCATGTCATCTATCTTTTTCTTCTCGCCTGATAAATACCGAGAGTATAAATGTAAAAATCGAACTTTTGGCGTTTTGCATTCCTCTGTGAAATAAGCAGCTCTGTCATATTCTTTCAAGTCAAAATAAGTTTTCGCTAAAATGTATGTATCTTCCTCTTCGCTTGTATCCGCTAAGTACAGGTCAGCAGTAGTGTCGAGAACGTCTATCTTGACATCTTTCAAGGAGTAACTCAATTCAGCTAGCCTATAAAAAAAGCATGTATTTCTTATTCCTTATACGAATAAAATCAATATTTTATTTAAATTTTTATTGAAAATTATACGCACCATTTTGTAGTATGCAATAATCCACGCTGGGAACATTCATTTATCGCGCGCAAAAGATCGGTTTTAACCTCTTTAATGTCAAACTTTATCGACTCCTGCATATTGCACATTAATTTAATCAGCAGATAAGATTATAATTAGCAAAATTAATTAAAAAAATGATCTATATACATTAAAAAAAGAATTCATATTTGTCTAAATCAAATTAACAAGCTAAACAGGAAATCACTGTACACTTTAGGTTTTGCCGCCACCTAATTCTGCAACGAAGATATATTTACTTCTATAAATGAAATATAGCATAAGCATAGCTCAACTGCATAATATAATTGTTTTATCATAATTTTCGAATTTAATCTTATTTAATTATTTCCTCTCTTTAGTCATTATTGATGCAACGCAATAAAGTTATAGCGATATGCTGAAAACAGATTGTTAATAGAGATTAAAAGCACAGCCACAGATTGTTAATAAAGATTAAAAGCACATGCTAAAGGAAGAAGGTTGAGAGTACAATTAGATAGATATTAATACAAATTAATCCGTTTAATTAGTCTTTCTGTAAATGAAAGTTTAATCCATTCATATGAAAGTTGAAATTTTATAACTATTATTCTTTATAGAGAAATTAAAAAAGCAAATGGTTCAATCTAGAAATTGATTTTCTGAACTTTTTAAGAATAAAATTAAAGGTTTAACACTAGTAAACGTTTTCTGTATAATGTCATTTCAATTTTCAACGTAGTTAATTGATAGCCTGCAATTAATACAGAATCAATACTGGTATTTCAGCAGTATTAATTCATATCAAAAAATTAATTTGCATTTTCGCAGCAGATGGCGCTACCATGTAAAAAATGGAGGCACGCTTGATTACATTGATTAATTAATTAATTAATGATGTTCTGAACTTTTAGAATTATGAATGGAATTAGTTATTCAACTCTCTCCCTATATTTTATTTAGTTTCTAAAATATGAGTCTAAGATTTTTTCTAAATTCTACTTAATATGTACAACGAAACGTTCTAATAATATTTAATTCCTTGCAAATTGAAAATTTGGATTGGAAAATTAATCATGATTGAAAGCATTAGCTTTGAAATATATATTTGTAAAAAAACGTAAAGTTGATTGTAATTTTATAAAAAAAATAATGTAGTAAGTCAGTAACGTGATATGTGACGCAAAAATGGTAAGGAGGTTAGATCCTGGTAAAAAGCATTGAATTTCCTGTCTATTTCATATTTTATCTATGCTGAGTGTGCAATTATCTATTTCTTAGTTTATCTATTTTGTTGCGTGCTTTAATATATTAATGAGTGCAAATATTTGATGGGAAACAATTTACAAAGATACAATTATAACAATGTCCTATTCCTTGCTTTCGTGGGTAAAGTAATAAATTATCTTTGCCATGTATGTTCGTAATTGTTTCATTTTGAATATACGTAGAACTCTCTTTTAGAAAAAATCATGATTTTCTGTATGTAATGGAAAGTATAGTTTTCTATGAATATTAACATCGATCTAATCCAATATTTTTGAAATCGTATTTACTCGTATTTACTCGTACACTCGTGTCATTGGAAAATATTATTTGTTATCGATGAAACAGTTGGACGAGCTCTTTTTTTTACGCGGGAATATTTTAAACAGGGATAAGGAATTGAATCGAAACTGATATTTATTATAGGGTGCTAATTCTCATGGTCAACTTGGGCAAGGAATCGAGTCGGAGCAATGTGTTTTACCACATGAGGTTGATTTATCAAAGTGCTCATTAGAACCGCAAAAAATAAAGAAAATAGTCGGCGGTGCTGGTCATACGTTAATTTTAGATGATCACGGTCGCGTTTATTCTTGCGGGTGGAACAATAAAGGTCAAGTGGGTTTTTCCGTAAAAGAAAATATTCCCTTTTTCCAAGAATTAAGTGGAAAACTAAGGAATAAGATTATCGTGGATATAGCGTGCGGCTGGGATTGTTCTGCTGCATTGACGACAGAAGGCACTTTATTTCTGTGGGGCTCGAATTATTTCGGACAATTGGGAATAGACCCGAACAATCTTCAATGGACACATGAATCTTTTGAGCTCGTGTCTGATCGAAAAATCAGAGGAGTTTCAATGGGTTTGAGACATACTGTTGCAATGACGGAAGATCATGCAATTTTAGTAGCAGGGACAGGTAGTAAGGGACAGTTAGGTATAGATTGCTCGAATAATAAGGGGTCTGTAAATGCTGCATATACTTTCACAGAAGGTAAACATGTACGAAAATAAAAAATTAAATAAAATAAATAAATACCCATTTTAACAAATGTGAATGAATTATTGTATAATGGTTTTAAATAGTTTCAACGTTACGGAACATCGAGAGTGTCAGTTGTGGTCAGTACCATACAATCGCGGTATCGAAAGATGGAAATCTTTATGCATTTGGTGATAATAAACATGGACAATTAGGATTAAATACAGACATTACTCGGAAAACACTCATTCCATTAAAATTATCAGATTTTCAAATTAAATTGCCAATTAACGTGCACAGTGGTTGGTCACATGTGATTGTGTTAAATGGTAATACTATTTGGTAATTTTTTATTCGTAATATATGTTTTCAAAATCTGATTAGTTTATTACTAGATAATCATATTTTTGGTTGGGGTCGAAATACATATGGGCAATTAGGCATTGCAAAACTCAACAAGTTCACTTGGAAAGCTACGCAAATTGAAAATCTTCCTAGAATACAACAAGTTTCTGCTGGTTCGGAACACAACGTTGCTCTAACTGGTATACATATAAAAATTAACAGCAAACAAAAAAAGAAAAAAATGAAATAGTTCGAAAAAAAACAATTTTCATTCTAATGTTTTAGAAGATGGAAAAATTTTATGTTGGGGTTGGAACGAACACGGAAATTGCGGAAATGGTCATACAAAAGACGTAAAATTTCCGGAACAACTGCATCTTCCATACGCTTACACGGGAATTCTTATTGGAAGTGGTGCAGCTCATTCATTTGCAGTAATAAAGAATATTTCATAAGAAATAATAATATAAATTAATAAAATGAAAATGTATGAAAGAAAAATACTTTTAAACGATTTTTTTTTTTGCTTTTCTCTTCCTAATATCATAAAATAAAAAATAAATTTCATTTAAATGTAGAATTAAAAGTGAGCAAAAGCCAGATAAAAAATACTTATAGAGAGTATTTATATAAATCGACTTTACCTGCGGATACAATGCACCACCTGTCACTTCTAAACTATCAGTGGGGTGCCCATATGGACGTATCAATGGAAGCGTGTTTGTGCCATATGAAGATCGATCGATTTAAATAAAAAAAAGTTGAGAAATTATGTACAACAAAATGTTACGTTCAAGATCTCAAAGCAGCATTTGGTATATATTTCCAATTTTTTTACATTTTCACAGCAAGCTTCAGTTTGCATTGAGATTTATGCTTATAACATTATGAAATTTATTCATCAGGGAGCAGGAAGCAAAGTTTGTACAAGATCGAATATCTAACGTAGAAAAACATTTTGCAGAATTATGCACGACATTTGCTGCATATATAAGAAAAGCCGCAAGGTTTGTATGTATAAGAAACGTTGTTATTAAACTATATATTGATTATTTCTCTTTTATGATTCGATGTTTTTTGTACATAAATGAATGCACTTTTAGATTGCGTGATAAAGGAGATGAAATAGCAAAAATTATCCAAATTTACGCACAATCGGAAACGATAAATCAATCGTTATCTAATGGGCTGACAAATTTTTCTGCGATTTTGTCAGTAATAGGTGATTATAGGTGCGTATTTATTTCTTTAATGAAAAGAATATAAATAAACAAATTTTGCTGTTTAAATTATCATAATTTTCATTCGTTATTTCCAGAGACGCCAAAGTGCAGAGATTTGACGCCAAAATAATTTCCCCACTTTCTCAATACGCGACAATTTGCAAACATGCTCGTGATGACGTAAAAAATACATTTACAGCACGCGATAAGGAATTGACAAGAAAAAGACATCTAGATAGGCTTCGAGAACGAAATCCTAGAAATAGACAGATGATTGTATCCTTCTATTAAACTTTATTAATTTTAATTAATTACATCTATAATGTTAAAATAATGATAACTATTTTAAATTCTTAAAAATCATATAGTCTCAAGCCGAATCGGAACTAATGAAAGCTTCTGTTGAAGTTTCAAGAGTTGTTAAAGGTTTAGAAGAGCAAATCGATGCATTCGAAAAACGGAAATTACATGATTTGAAAACTGTACTTTTAGATTTCATTATCATCGAATTAAGCTTTCATGCCAAAGCTCTGGAATTACTAACAAAAGGTTACCAAGATATTGCAGAAATCGATGAAGTTAAAGATTTAGAGGTAAGCTTTACTTAAATAGTATTCATATGTTAATATAAAAAGATAATAAATGTTGTTCACATTGTGTTAGATATATTAATTAATATCTTATAAAGTCTAAGAGTTATTTTAAATTAGTATTATTTTGATATTTTCTCATAGGACTTCCAAATAATAAGAGGAAATATGAATGGGGTAAATTTTTTATTTGACTAGTTATGTACATAATTTGTTATACAAATCAAGATGGGTAATATAATAATCCTTTACTTTTTAAATTAATTAATTCCTTAATTTCAGGAATTTCGTGAAGTAATGCACGTACCCGATTCTGTTGCAAGATTGTCCACTGTTGGACGAACTTCGTTTCGGCAATCTTATTCTCTTATCAATTTGGCGAATCGTTTTATGTCTTCACCCGCAAATTCTCAGAAATTAACTAACCATACAATCGAATCGACATCGATTGTTAGTATAAATTAATTATTGTATACCAATCAATAATATGCCATAATTAAATGCATATGTGTGATTAACTGCAATAAATATTTTTGTAGGATTCTGCAAAGTCAAGTTTAAAAACTAACTCTTCAGAATCCGTACAGATTGAGGAATTTAGAGGCAGTTCAGAAGAAACAGAATCTGAATCTACTAAAGAAAAACCTGTGAGAACCAGGCATAAATCTATGTAATTCTCAATAATCTATTATTTCCAAAATATTTTGTACAATTCTAGATTGAACTGCAAAGTAATTCTGGACATAAGGATTCAATACGATTTATAGTTAAAGCAATACCATCGATTCCTACATATCAAAAGTTTTTAACAATGCCTATAATGGTCAAGCATGATTGATTTGGTATAAATAGTATTTATCTAGCACTGAAATGTACCCTATATTAAAAAGGAAATAAAGCATGCGTTATATTATTATCTTAATGCAAAAAAATTCAGTTTATTTTAATGACCAAAATGCACATTGCAAATATGCAATAATGTACAAATATTGTTCTTATATAATTGTTCATATTGCAAAAGATCTTTTTGATTCTATATCAAAATTAATATTACAATAAATATAATCATTTGTCCCCTCCTTCTACGCCTGCTTGTGTCATTAAATCTGTGATATTTTTTTCTAGATCGTCTATTCTATTTCCCATTTCATCTAGTATTCTGCATTAAGAATATTTATCACTTTATTCATGAAATCATTAAGTAAACACATAACTTCCTTAAATAAGCTTATTTTTTCACATATAATAATTTGTACTTTCACATCAGAAGCACATTTTATTTTTTTAAGGTTATTTAAGGAAATGCATTTTAAGCTATTAGTAAAAAAAAAGGATATTTTTCCCCAGTATTTGATCCGACATAGTTTGAAATTTTCCTTGCATGTTTTGTAATAGCGTTTGCACCTAAAATATGTAAAGAAACATAAACAATAGGCAATCACATTATTAAAACATCAACAGAGAATGTCACAGTAATGAATTATATCTTACATATTCTGTCAATTCTTGCATATTTTTTGGTTCCGCATTATTACCTATTCCATAATTATCAGTATCCTCGCCTTTATGATCCTGTTTAATATCTGCCATTCCTAAGCGATTTGTTTATTCAATTCCGTTCCACACTAAAATAAACTGTTCTTTCGAATAATTCTGACAAGCGCATACGAAGATTTTCAATCAACTGGTACTTTTATTACGTAGAATACAAATCGTTGAAGCATCGATTTAACAAATGTAAATAAAATATCATTTTTCGATCAAACTATGGTTCAGAGTCGATTACTTGTTTCTTTCATGTGTACTCTGCCCAAGTAAGTGATTCTATTGGTGGAAATTAAGAGAAGGGAAAACGTTTTTCCCACTAGTTACCTTTAACCAAATTTGTTGTAGTAAATATAAAGATGCACTAAAAAAACGAATATATCACTTACAAATTAATGTTACAATATAATATAGTTTCTATGACTGATGAGTATAAATTCTATAAATTAGAGAATAAAAAGTTGACAAGAAAGAGAACATACACAATTGATAAATACAAAACTGATATTAATTTTATTGGTATATACAGAACAATTAAAAACATAATTATTTGCCATTTTTGTATATTTAAAAATTATTTGATTATCAAATAAAAATATTATCTATTGAGGTTTAAACATTATATCCACATTTTCTGGTACTGAAATATTCAAAAGATTTATTGTGCCAGGCGTTTGATAGTTTGAGGTAGTAGATGAAATGGAATACTTTTGGTCATTTTTATTTTCCTTAGTTGCTAAAAATTTGCAACACATAACGTACCAAAAACTTTGTACAATATTTTTCACCAATCCTATAAAATTTTTTTTGTAAAAAATATCTTTAACGTAAATAACTTAAGTAAATTTATATTTACCGCTTGTAACAAAAATACCTCCAATTGTGGCACATAATTTCACTAAAAATTGACACACTGTATCACGTTGTTGAGTAACTTTTATTTTAAGTGCACTCATGTCATATTTAAAAAAAATTCCTGGTCTTCCATGAGATCCTTTTTGATGATCAATTGGTCTTTGATGGTCTTTCACACTATACTGATAGGTCCTGGAAGTGCTCAGTAGAGTCTGTATATCTGTGGGAACCACTTCCACAAAATACTGATACAAAATCATATCTAAAATATATATATTTTTAAAAATAAATTATAGATATTATAATATTTACATTTCATATAAACTCACTGTTATCTGCAATTTTTTCATCTCCCTCTAATGGATGAATAATACCTGGACTAGGTCCACCAAATGAAAATTTATTTATTCTATGGGTAAAGTTATAGTCTTTATCAGTCATAAAAGTTAAAATATGTATATGTCCCATAGGAAATGATAATGATTTTCCAGCTGTTATATGAAAATTTCCAGCAACTTTATTAACATTTAAACTGCCATGGATGCGACATGCATTTGGTGGATAACTGGGTTGACGGGTCCTAATGTGTTGATACATATATGTATGTTATTTTACATATATACAATAATATATGTATGTAATAATACATATTAACCATAGATAAAATAATATACTTCATATATTTACCGTTTTGGCATTTCACTATACAAAGTAATTTGATTAGATTTCCATAATAATTCATGAATCGCATGATATTCTTCTCTTAAATAAGAATTCATATCTTTTAAAGCTTCAAAGTGAGATCTCTGTTCTTGTGTTAATTCCCACCATGTGTCTTCTTGTTCCAATGAATCATGTCCAATCATATTTTGATTTGTAGAATCTAAAACATCAGCACTAATACGGCCGCATGTCATAGCAACCGTGATATCAATATTTATTTTTAATTTTGCGTCAATATCTGTATCTGTTTCAAATTTAAATTGTAGTCTACTGTCAAGATAATAACTTGTTTCAGCTATTATTAAATATGCAATAGTACAGATTGTAAATATAGAAACTGCAAATGAAAATATGACATATTTAGTAAGACCAAAGTAAGAAATAACGTAACAAAAAACTTACATGTTCCTCCGACTGCAGTTTTGTCTATATATGGTTCAGGAACTTTAGGAAATGCATCCAGTTCTTTGACAGTTTTAATATTAACATTTCGTCTTCGTAACATTTTAGCAACTTTTAAAATTCAAATATTATGAATATATAACATTTATTCTCTAACTAAATTCCATTAATCTATAATATACATACAAATAAATTTAAATATATAGTTATTATAATATACGTATGTACATATGTTTAATATATATTTGATACCTTAATATTTTTACCTTAATTGATCACGAATATGTACATATTTACAAATGCACGTACAAATTTAATATACAATACTTTAAATGTGTCAAGTAGTCACATATTACAAGTAAAAGCTTTGATACAATTTTTTAACATTTTTCTATTTAACGATAGACGAAGGTTAACCGCTTTACACGGTGACTAAAAGCGCCACCATATCTATAAAAAGAAGAAAAGTTAGTTATCAGTTATCAGTCAAATATTTTATTGCTCTATAAAATATTAATTGATACTGCTATAATTTTCAGAAAGAAATAAAAATAAATACACATTACATGTTTAATTATGTATATATTTGTTCACAATCCATGATATTTGATGGATTAATTACCTGTATATACATACGTTTATGAAGTTTTCTATGTATTGGTTAATTTTGTAGTTGAATAAATACGTGTTATCACTTCAATGATTTAAAGCGTTCCTTATCTTAAATAAGACTTTTATATTTAACGTTCACATCAAAAATAAGTGATTTTGCAGTTATGGACGATCACGCATTGTGTTCTTTGTATTGAAAGCTTAAACATAAATAAGTTTAATAATCAGTTAGTGAAGTATGTGCAAATGTTTTATTAAAAAGTGTTAATTTATATCTTTACATTTTTTTTGTAATAATCTTAAATAAGATTTATTATTAGTGTTTATTAACACGTATTGATTTTAGCTATAAAGTTCGTATATTTATTTTATTTTGTATTATGTTATTTTATAAATTTGCTACATAACAAATAGAGACAATTATCTACACAGTATTGTAGCAAGCATATTTAGCATACTTGAACTATTTAAGAGGCTACATGAAGTATTATTTGAAATGTTATACTTAACTTGTGAAAAACTTTGGTATGCATGTGAAATCTAGTTCTGTTTTTAATTATCACGATCAGTTATTAACAATCATTTATAATTCATTTATATTAATTTTATATAATTGTATAAAGTTACATGTGCAAAGTAAAATACATGTATACTCATAGTGAATAATCTTTGTGTTAATGTGTAAAGTATTAAAAGATTAAGAATATAAGATGCCACATACTTTGACCTACCCAATGTATGCTGGTGTTGAATCATCTTCTCAAAGAACTCGGTCTTATACTTGGAATTCTCAACATCGTTCTGCAACATCTCGAATATTGCAAGCTAACAGAAGGCCAGGACGCTTCTCATTGACAGAGCCTATAGTATGTAAATAATCATATTTCTTTGTATATGTGATATTTGTATAACGCATTATCTTAAGAGATAATAACTTAAGAATTATTCATTCTTATCATTGTTCCATGATATCAAGCAGAATGAAATGTAAAATATAACTTACTATCATATGTTTTATTTCATTCTTCTTATTGTTGCCAATGCAAACGCTTTCTGGTATTGAAACAATACTTTGATAGTTAAGAAATCGTTAAGGGGCAAAAGAAAAGAAAAGAAAAAAAGTGTACTCCAGAACACGTGAGTCACTTTTTAAGCGTATTAATTGTTAAACGTAATGGTAATGTTGGAAAAATAATAATGTTTAGTGAAATATTAAATTTCCATAATTTCGATTACGTTGCTTAACTTACTACGTGTAGTGATGAAATATGTATGCTGTTTAGGAAAATTTCAAGAGATGTTCGCAGGCGCATTAGTTAGTTTTAGCGGTATCCAGAATTATGTCGTAGTTATATATTTGTAGAAGTTTTGTTTATTCTAACGCCGACAAAATTCTTAAAGTTTAAGGAAAATATATATTCTGTAAAATATAATATAACTTTTTATAAATAATCTTTCTTATTTAAAATAATTAAAATGAATTTTAGTCTCGTTTGAATATTTAAAAGGAAGTTAGCCATCTTTAAGCGCGAGTATGTCATATCCGTTTCGTTCATGCAATAGCAACTGAGAGGGGTTAAGACAAAATAGGTTTCTTGATGGCATATAAGAAACTGTGAATCTAGTTAAATTGTAAGAAATAATAATCGACGATTATACATAACAAATTGATTATACATAACGTTAATGGCAGAGGAACATGTTTATGGATATAATCCAACGTCTGGAGCTGACGGAGAATCCGTACGTAACTATTTTGACAGTTTGACAAGTACAGGTTGGATTTTTGATTGATAGACTTCAGAAAGGGTATTACTTCCACAAAATTGTTGATTTTATAATTAATAATATTAATATGTCAATAATAAGA